CTATATAGCAAAAGTCATTAAGGAACTTGCTAACTATATAGCAAAAGCAAATAAGGAACTTGCTAACTATATAGCAAAAGTAAGTTATAAATGTTAGACTTAAGTGAAACTTTTGATCAATTGCATTAATAATGTTTTATAATGTGATACTAAGGTACTAATATGTCATAACTTTTCAGCATATGACACAAAAATTGTGGAATGAAAAACGTGTTCTATAAAACCAAAAACTTTAACCTATTTTTATTAAACATGCCTAAAAAAAAAGAAAAGGTTTCAGAGCAAGTCATTCAAAATTTAATTTGTGAAAGACTTCGCTTGAGTTGTTTTAAAAGCACGCCATTTAATTTATATTAGATATAAGTAAAAATTTTCGAATATGTAATTCTATGAGCGTTTTATATGGCGTCATTTTTACTAGTGATGTGTGATACAAATCACAGGGTTTCTAATATTATTTTATAAAAGTGAGTCAGTACCTATTCAATAGGGATGTGAACTTATCAGAACATGTAATGTCAACAAACGTTTTTTTTATGTAATAAGTAAAATGCAGTGTTTTTAAAATGCATATGAAAGTTGTCATTGTCAAGAAAGCTAATCAATCTGGTTTTACCGACTGACTACATGAGCTTGGCATTGTATATTGATGGTTAGAAAAAGAAACTGACTTCGACTGAATTTCTCTTAAGGTATACTGAACTGAAAAGCATCAAATGTTTGTATTGTATTTTTAATTATACGTTTAACGTAAGATGATGTACTTGAATGATTAAATATAATCTAGATGTACTTACTAACTTTCTATCAATAAACAATAACCATATCTTCCATAACAGTCTTTAATTTTATTATATTTAAGGTAATAAAACATACAAAATTTTATTCATAAAGTACACTAAGATATTTTAGGATACATTATTTTTGCAGTAAACCAGTGAAACCACATGCTTACATCACTAGAGCTATTTGTGAAATCACCAAACTAACGCTGAGATTTATAAAACGAATTTCGACTTCGACTAAGCAAAAATGGTGAGATAAGTTTTTCATATTTACAAAAAGAACTTTGCAAGGAATAAAATTAAATTTTGAGTATATTTCATAATTTCTTGCTTAGACTTAGGTCAAGTTTCTTTTTGTAAATATGTAAAACTTGCTTAATTCGTAATCTTATTTAATATACAGGCTGTATATTTGAAAGTGGGACATACTTATAGAGTGCGTTATATTCCTGATTCTGAACCCAAAGGAATAATAAACTAATGAACTTAAACTACACAAAAAATATTTTTTAAATTGTTTTTTATCGACTACTACTTGAAAGCAACATTAGTTACCGAAATCTATGCACATCACTATTATTGATCCGACGCAGCGGCGAAAAACAAAGCACAGGTCGGGGGTGGGGACGCTAAGGTATACGCGAAATTGCTCAGTGCACGCGCGACCTTGATCTAACGAAGATACGTAAATTATTTGTAATTCCCCTCGCCTGATCGCCGCAAAATGGATATTTATTCTAACGTCGAATTGACTGAGATGAGGCGACTTTACGCAATAAGTGGTGATAGTGTGAGGCAAGGTATTGGAATGTTCCCGAATCGGAGTTTACGCGGAGGAGGTGAACAGTGTCGAAGTGTTGCGTGAGAGGATTATCTCAGCATTTTATACTGTGAGACAAAACGTGGTCGTGTTGTACAATTTAAAACAAAATTTACTATGCCGTGCTAGACTATGCTTTGTGGAAAACGGTGGACATTTTGAACACTTGCTCCGTACCACGAAGTGTAAATAAACTGTAAATAATAAAAACATCAATCATTGTAAATAATTTGATTTCACATTTTCAACTACGACAAAAACCTCAATTGTTATTAAATGATAACTAGTTACTAAATCATAAACTTATCTTTTTTAGTACGTAAAACACTTCAATGATAGTTCAAGTAAAAAATAATTAACATAAGCTAAAACGTAAATGTGAAATCATAGTTATTGTTGCTGTCTCACACACAACATTTGTTGATTTATTTTTTGTTCTATCCCATACCCTAATTTTATTTTAGTCTATGTTAAGTTGTAACATGATATACTATGACATGTATGAATATGTCTCACTTTCAAATATACAGCCTGTATAATGATCAATCCCATGTGCCACTTCCGACTTCCACCCATCTTTTATTGTTGTCCAATAACTCTTCTATATATACTTATTTATCTAAATTTATCTTAGAAAATAATATAAAAATTTAACTGCTATAATAATAATATAATATTTATTCTATATTTATACCATTTTTTTATTTACGTCTCATAATTCGTCGCCTGATCCTTTTTCATTTTTTCTCCAACTTTCAAATCCCGTTTCCAAATTACATTCCATGATATTATACAAGTTTCCCTGTTTTAAAAACAAGTTTGTTAAAACACTTTGTAAGTGGCTAAAACGCTTTCCGCCGAAAAACCAAGAGAAGTAAGAAAAAATAAAACGACGAATGACGTTTTTAACTGCCTCCGTGGCCGAACGGTTACTACGCTGGGCTGCCACGCAGAAGTCCCGGGTTCGATTCCCAGGCCGGGAGAACTATTTGTATGGCCTACATTTATTTCTCTCGTGAGTTTGAATGTAATTTATGGTTGTCTACGTGTGTGTCCATGTCACCCGAGATACAGAGTTTCCCTAGGGGCTATGAGTGTGTGGGCGTTATTATTATTATTGCCTTGTCAAAGTCTGAGCCGTTACACATGGCGACTTATAGCAGCGTGTCTGCAGCGATTTAGATGTAGTAGCGATGTAGTCGCTAATCGACTACCTTAACACACACGCGTGACTTAAAAGTCGATACAATCTCAAATAGCTTTGTTGTTTCCGCTTAACAGTGAAACTGTTGAATCAATCACTGGAAAAAATATAAACACAAACTCACCTCGAAATGTTACAAGAAAACAGCTGTTTATACATAAATACAGCGGTATTCAATAGGTACTTTACATATCGACCCCTCCGACGTAAAGTATCGTATGTCGAAATTGCCATGTTTACAGAGGAGCCTTTTAAAATTCACTGAAATAAGCACAACACGTGACTTTAGCATTTCTCAGTTTTATTCGACAAAGCTCGCTACTCACATAGAGTATTATAAAATCCTAGATATCGGTTAGAGGATGTATTAGATGATTATCTATTTGAGTAACGAGCTTTGCCGAATAAAACGGGGAACTTTAAAACGCTTCCCTGTAAACTTGGCAATTTCGACATACGATACTTTACATAGGAGGGGTCGATATATCAGTGATTTTTTTTATATCATCTTAAGTATATAAATAGAAAACACGTATATTACGACATACATTTTTCAAATGGTTCTAATTACGATTGTAAAAAAGTAAATCCTGAAATAAATCCCCTGTCCCTGTTGTTCGACTTATGCAAAATGAACCGTATTAGTACTGGGAAAAAATTTAATAATTTAATATTAATGATCCAACATAAGCGAGTGCTTCGATGCAGATGCAACCGCCTATAAACTGCAAGCGTGGTCACAAACGGGCGTTCGTAACGCAACTAAGTGTCGTATTCCAGAACTCGACTCAATGCTCAGGTCAGGATTTGAGCAGACTTGAGTATGAATTCAAGCACTGGAAATACGACCCTAATGGCAAGGACTTGAGTATGATTTCTAGTACTTTGAATCATACTCAAATCCTGACTTGAACATTGAGTACAGTTCTGGATTACGTCCCTAAGTGTTGCCGTGTGGAACCGTTCTTAAAAGTTCGTTTCATGAACCTCACTTGAGGACCACTGAGCACATAAATTTTGACACTTTGTACTTTGGACCTTTCTTATCGCAAGCGGTGTAGAATTGAATGTGAACATTAAGTGCTAAGTTTAACATATTCTTGACGCTATACAAATAAATTACGTGAGTTAACTTACATTACAAATTGACGCTTAAAACAGTGAATCATCGAAGAACTAACCTGGTGGTCATGTACGCCGATGTAAAGCGACGGCGGGGCTGTCATTTCTCTATCTACGAGCGATCGCGTCGCCTCCCATAGCACGTCAATGTGCTGCAGAGAACCGCTGCATAAACGCCACATTGCCGCTATCGGTGCGTCCAGCTAATAACAAAAACAACCGATGATTCCCAAAGTGGTCTATGTTTGTCATGTGCGTCTCGCGTACGGTAATGAAAGTAAGCAACAGTCGGTCCACATAAATATTATTGCAGAAGTAAAGAAAGAGAAGGTACAGGAAAGCAATAGAACAGGTAAAGTAAAGGAAGTAAAGGCGTAAAGGCCCAAATGGGCCTATATTTTCAACAAATATTATGCTCTATAAGCGTTACATGATTTTTAATGGTACTATAAATATTAAGCTTTACAAGCATTTAGGTTACATGATTTTCAATGGTACTACAAATATTATGCTTTACAAGCAGTTAGGTTATATGATTTTCAATGGTACTACAAATGGTACGCTTTACAAGCAGAGAGGTTACATGATTTTCAATGGTACTGTCAATATTGTGCTTTACAAGCAGCTAGGTTACATGATTTTCAATGGTACTACAAATATTATGGTTTACAAGGAGATAGGTTACATGATTCTCAATGGTACTACAAATATTATACTTTACAAGCAGATAGGTTACATGATTTGCAATGGTACTACCAACATTATGCTTTACATGCAGTTAGGTTACATAATTTGCAATGGTATAAATGGTCAGAATTTTACGTGAAGTCGAACACGTGGTCTCGCTTCGGAAATTTAGTAGGAAGTCTCGACGGAAAGAAGAAAAAAGTAAGAATGACGAAGAAAAGAAATTTAAGAACGATTCAAAATTTCAAAGTAGGTGGTCAGGAACCAGAGAATAGGGTCATAAAATGGTGGGATGACGATGAACGAGGCCGCATCGTCACATATTGACCCCCAGGTATCCACTTCAAGCAACAAGGGGTCCATTTCAGCGAAAAAAAGGGGTATTGAGATGTTAATGTAAACTAAAATGTTGACTTTCCCTAAACATAATAATCAACTTTGTGCATAGTAACTATGAACTTACGTAATACTTTATTATTGTAAACATATCGACTGTGAACTGGCTACCGGTACTATCTCAATTTTGACAACTTTACAGGATGAAGAAAAAACTTGTTTGCGTCATTTATATAGCATCGGGTTTATTAAATGAAAATACGTAGTTTTTAAATATTTTTAGTACACATCAAAAACAATGGAATTTCTCGCAACGCTGTGGAGTATGTAATAGTATAAAACGGTACTTAAAAGCGAAATATTTATAAAATTGAGATAGTACCGGTTGCCAGTTCACAGCCGATATACAATATCTACGAAGTAAACTTTTCATAACAAGCAAGATATTCGGTTAGACATATATATATTATATATATATATATACAACCTAATTAACATGCATTTTTGTAAAGTTTCTTAATGTGCACTAAACTTATAAAAGTGAATAGCGCTGTGGCCGCTGTCAAAAACATATTTCAAATTTTTTTTTTTTTTTCAATAGTTACTTATTTATTTATTTATTTATTTTAAACACCAATGAATGAATTTGTATTAAAATCCATAGAAAACAACACAAAAAACTAAAATTTGCTTTCCGTAATTGTTTTTTGTGAGGTTTGACAAGTTCATAACAAATAAATACTTTCAATACCCTCATGGCAACTGACATTTTTTATAATTTTTAGATTTTTTTTATATTCTGTAGACTCGGGGTCCTGAACCCAGACGTTTCAGAGGGTTTACGCAAAATAGAAACATTTGCAAGTAATCTACGAAACAAAAAAGGCTGGGAACCCCTGATCTATACTAACCAGAATCTATGGACTCAGAAAACTGCAAATATGTCTTTGCTTTACGCCACATACTCTCTCCTTAATACCATTTCGATGCAAAAAAAAGTGCTTAGATATATTCAGAAGGTCGTGTTCTATTTCTCAACTTTGGTCGCTGCATCGAGTGTTTCCCAAAAAATACTGCTAATAAATCGGGCGTTTTCAGGGTTAGTATATAACACTTAATTTAGTGATAAGTATATCACATTTATCAACACAGAAACGCATCAAAAAAAGCTTTACGTCTATAAATGTGTACTGATAAGTAATAAATATTGTTTATAAATGATTACGTTATAATAATAATAATAATCACAATATTTTTTCCATTTTGTGACAACCCTTGCATACCTGCGTACGACAGCGCAAGTATATGGGCGGCAGTATCTCCGAACTTCAAGAGCATTGCGCTAATACTGTACGAAAAATAGGTAGGGTCGGTGTAATGACTATATCTTTAAAATGACCTGATCAACCATTGACCTACCAATAAATGGATGTCGGGTTCGCGCTAAAAAATGTCCGCACTTGTAGGGCGTTAAAATCGCATACAGAGCGTCCATTGCGCAATAGTCTTCGTTTGTTCGGGTGACAGCGCGGTTGTCAATCATGCAGTACCAATATATGCAGTACAAATAATTATCTTGTAAAAATTACTGCAGTAAAGTGTGAAAACAGGATTTTGTATCATATTTTCACTAAACAAATATATTGTGTTATCATAGTTGTCATTTAAAAGTGTTATTTTGTACAGTTTCATAGTATTTAATTTATATATAACTGAATCGTATATATAAATTACAAAAGCACACGAAATAATGAAATAGCTGTCCTGCGCAAAAGATGGAAAGAGACCCATTGCGTCAGTTTCAAGAAGCTTATATAAACTTCTTGGTCATTTTCATTTGTTCGAACCACAAGCGATTGATGTATTTCGAACAAACAAACTGTAGAGTTGCTTTGATTTTAATCCTATTTTTAAAATGATTTTTTTATTAAACGTTAGCTATAACTAACAAAATATTGTTGTACTCGTTTTACGTCTTGAGATTACCTATCAGAAGTCAGAAAATATACTTGCCCGAAATAACATTAGCTCGAATTTTCATAATGTGTTTTTACGAAGATTACAAAACAAAAGCTAATTTTGTCTATGTAAAAAGAATCAAAATTACTCGAAAGCGTAACGGTGTTGTTATAAACCGGAATTACGGATATTTGAGTTTACGTTTAGTTAGAATATCGGTACATTTGTTATAGTACACGCTTATTTTCACATTTGTAGTAATCATACCATTACTCTTGTGTTCAAGTAATTTCCAGTCGAAGCAAAATTGAGGAGTATAGTGTAGAATCAGTTTATGTGCTCGGTGACTTCAATGCGCATCCTAGTGAGCGTTTTGCATTAGAGCTGTTAGGTTTTTGCAAGGAACAAATGTGGTGCTGCGTTGATATAGAACGATTAGGTTTAGAAAGTGACACCTACACCTATTTAAGTGAAGCGCACGGTTGTAGGCGCTGGCTAGACCACTGCGTGGTCACGCAGGCGGCAGTGAATTCGGTTATTAATGTTTATGTGAATAATGATGTGTTATGGTCGGATCACTATCCTTTGACGCTAGAGTGTAGTTTTGATTTATTGGCTGCAAAAAAAATAGATGCTGTAATTGTTGTAAATAATGTGGTATGGGGTGACCGAAGTGAGGAGCAGATAACTAATTATCATAACGAATGTCACACAAATTTAAGCTTAATTGACTTTCCTACAGAACTTAGAACATGTTGTGACTGTAAATGTACCAATGTTGAACACCTACCAATTATTGACAACCTGTACAAAAGTATAGTATCTGTTTTAAGTGAGGCAGCGGCACAAAATAGACAAAGTATGGTGAGTAGGAGGAGGAGGACTGTAATTGGATGGAATAAACATGTGGGCCAGGCTCACAGGGTGGCCAGGAAGAATTTTCAGGTGTGGGTCGTGTGTGGAAAACCAAAATCAGGTCCTGAGTTTAGTGCAATGTATGAGAGTAGGAAAATTTTTAAATCTCGACTAAAGTGGTGTCAAACTCATGAGGATCAAATAAAGATGGACATAATTGCCAATAAATATTCTAAAAAAGATTTTAGAGGATTTTGGAAGAGCACTAGGAGTTTGAATGTTCAGCCTGGCCGACCTGTGAGCGTGGACGGTATCAGTGACTCGAAAGGTATAGCAGACTTATTTAGAGAACATTTTATTGTTAAATCACCACTCAAAGATGCGAGGTCTGTCTCAGGTACTGAGAGCATTCCTGGACAGGGGGTAAAGCCTCGATTTTCAGCTAAAGATGTGGCTAGAGCAATAAAATCCATGACTAGAGGCAAGTCCCCTGGCCATGATGGTCTCAGTATTGAGCATTTTCAACATGCTGGCCCGCACATGTCACGAGTTTTGGCTATGCTTTTCAATGTATGTATGAGTCACTCATATCTTCCTCAAGATGTTATGAGGACAACTGTTGTTCCTATTGTTAAAAATAAAACAGGAGACATGTCCGATAAGGGCAATTACAGGCCTATTTCTCTTGCGACGGTTACAGCAAAGGTGCTTGACGGACTGCTTGATACAGAGTTAAATAAATATCTTGTGTTGCATGATAATCAGTTTGGTTTCAGACCTGGATTATCTACTGAAAGTGCCGTACTGAGTCTTAAGCAGTCTGTCAGGTACTACACAGACCGGAAAACGCCAGTCTTCGCTTGCTTTCTCGACCTGTCAAGGGCTTTTGATCTGGTTTCCTACGACATACTGTGGAAAAAACTTGAGGTTATAAACTTGCCGAATGATATTATTAACATCTTCAAGTATTGGTATGGAAACCAGGTCAACAGGGTCAGGTGGTTGGGGGCATGGTCTGAGCCGTACAGGTTACAGTGTGGGGTTAGACAGGGAGGACTAACATCTCCCTCTCTGTTTAACCTATACATGAACGAGTTGTTAGTCGAGCTCAGTGGTAGTCGTGTTGGCTGTCATGTCGACGGGGTGGCTGTTAACAACCTCAGCTACGCAGATGACATGGTGCTGCTGAGCGCGTCTGTGTGCGGACTCAGATCACTACTTAGCATTTGTCAATCGTATGCAGATAGACATGGACTAATATACAACACGACCAAAAGTCAGTACATGGTGTTCGGTATTGGCCATAGGAAGTTGATGAGTGTGCCGCCTGTTAGCTTAAACGGTGCTCCTCTTGACAGAGTCGAGAAATTTAAGTATCTCGGTCACTGGGTCACCAGTGATCTGAAGGATGATATGGACATTGAGAGGGAACGGAGGGCTTTATCGGTCAGAGCCAACATGATAGCCCGCAGGTTTGTTCGTAGTTCCGTAGAAGTGAAAGTTGCATTGTTCAGGGCATTTTGCACTTCCTTCTACACATGCAGCCTGTGGGAGACGTACTCTCAGAAGGCATATAGGGCCCTCCGTGTCCAATACAATAATGCGTTTAGGGTGTTGATGGGGCTGCCCCGATACTGCAGCGCCTCGGGCATGTTCGCAGCGGCTCACGTCGACTGTTTTTACTCAACCATGCGCAAACGCGCATTGGCACTGGTGAGTAGGGTACGGGTCAGCCCCAACACCATCATGCGCATGATTGCGGACAGGTTCGACTGTCCATATATGAACCAAGCTTGTCGCCTGCATGTTGTTTCAAACACTTAGTTCATAAGTTAAATAATTTTATAATGATAGTTTGTGTTTTGTAATATTTTGTAAATTTTATTTTTATTATGCATTAAATTTCAGGTAATAATAATGTAATATGTAGTGAATGTATTGTCTATAATATGGGTTTTTGCTGCCCGAAATAAATGAATTTTATTTTTTATTTTTATTTATTTTATTTTAAATATGGTGCATTTTGTTAAGTTTCCAGTAGAAGCTGAATATGGTGTTTTTGGGCACTTAAATTGTTTTAAGCAAATTTCGGCAGTATACTGCAATGACGTTACAATTTAAATTAAATGTTTTAGTTTTTTATATTTCGTTACATGTCACTACGTTTGTATAGGTTAACCTCGGACATTTTTTTCCGTGTGTCCACTTGTTGGTAGGTCAATGTGATCAGCATAAGGATTGTAATACTGTTGCTAAATTGAGAAATGATTTACTACACAAACGTCCATGTCGTCGTTTAACACTACGTGCGACTACCGAGCACTCATCTACATTAAATAAATAATCAATCAATCAATAAATTAATTAATTGAGAGTCGGGATGAGGTTTTATTGCGCTTGTCACAACGTCCTCCCATCCGAGATTGCCTCTGTACGCTGTGACGAGCATTGGCTGATAAATTATCCTTTTGCATAGTCAAGAGCACATCACGCTTGACTCTGGCCTTTATTGTCGTTTACTGTTATCGTAAAAGGCAAATAGTTGAATTTAGACCTTGAACGTCGAGTATGACGTGCTCTGAATCACTGTTCTTATAATATTGAGAGTTTTAAAGTGACTGTACCTGTTGCTGCCAAAGGGGTTGTCTTTCACCAGGACGCGTGATGGCGAGCACGCCCTCGGGTAGTGCGATGGCCACGGCGACGGCCACATTCGGTGGGCCAGGCTTTGTGCCCACGCACTCCCGACGGCTTACAGCGAGTTGATGCTCGGCCACGCTAAAGTTCCACCTGTTTAATAAAAAAAAACGTCATTACGACTGCTAAATCGAGCCCTTTTTTTCTAAGTTCTTGTTTATCCAAAAGAACAAAACATTATTCAGCATCGCCCATCATCCGAAGACGTCCAGTACTAAAAACTTTATATCTATTAGTAGTATTAGAGCTCCTTGTGAAAGAGTTCACCTAGGAAAGTACTGCCACCTTACCTATTTCTGCCGCCAAGCAATAATGTAGGCATTATTGCGCATCGGTTTTGAAGGATAATAGTGCTGGTGAAATTACAGGCACTTGGGACTTTTCAACTTATGTCGTAGGTTGACGGGCATAGCGGCAGTGCCCTTCAGATTCTTGCTATCTAAAGCTATGAATGGCACTGCAACTGTTAGGGATAGGCGTGTAGCGTACCACCAGGCGGACGACTTGTTCGTCTCGTCACTTTACATCAGAATTTGTACATGAATAATGTGAATGAAATAACTGGTTCCGCGGCCGAATGGTTACCCTGCTGGTCTGGAAAATTTGATGTCATGAGTTTGGGTGTAATTTGTGGTTATCTATGTATCTATTGCTGTGTTCCGGTGCTACGGTAAGGATGCTGATGAAATTACAGGCACATGGGACTTGTTAACTTATGCCTCAGGGTGACGGGCGCAGTGGTAGCGCCCCTCAGGTATTTGCGATTTAAAGCTCTGAGTGGCACTGCAACTGTTATGGACAGGCGTGTAGCTTACCATCAGACGCACGACCTGTTCGTCCCGTCACTATTGATATTCTAAAAAAAAATTATTTACTTCCATTTTTATTAACGAACCGAGTGTCGATTTTTTCCAGGGATTATAATATTGAGATTGAATGCTCTAGTTACTTACTTTTCAGTGCCTGAACGCGGGTCAAGCGCGCGCACAGTGTTGGAGTGTCTCCTTAGCATGAGCACATCGCGGCCCGCACCCGCCGTCTGCTGTTCACTTGAACACCCTGAGGTGCCGCACTCGTAAAGCACTCCACCTGTATTCGCGTCCACTCCTAGCCATAGCGTCTCACGAGCGCCTACAACAACATTCATTATACGACGTAAGCTGATTATCAACATCAACGAATCCGAGGAAAAACAGAATAAGTGTGAAAACTTTTCGTGAAATAAGGTTATTCAACTCATGTATTTTTCAATGGTAAATGTAACAGGTTTGTAAATAAATAAATAAATAACGCACACACTCGAATCCCCGCACTAGGGAGACCCTTATCGCGGGTGTAATGGACACACACATACACAACCACAAATTACACCCAAACTCACGAGATAATTAAATGTAGGTCATACGAATATTTCTCCAGGACCAGAAGCAGTTATAAATAAAGTATTGCACTCAAAATTTAAAATTCAAAAAAGCAAAAAAGCATTATTACACTTGAAATCGTCACAATGGTTAAACTCTACCGCTCATTCGTAAGGCAGATTCCCCTGAGAAGAATGAGTAACTTAGTAACCTGGAAGTCTGTGTAATGGCTAAAAAGAAGAAAGGCTAATTAATAATATCGTATCGAAGTTGCAGAGAAACTACTTTAGTCACACGTAAATAGGTGTAACGAATGATTGATTGAAGCGAATCTAATCTATACGCTGGTAGCTGTTCGTTCGCTGTCGTTGTTAATTGTACACACGCTGGCAAAACACTGCGTATCAATTGAAGCGCAGATAATTCTTGTTATTAAAGAAGATAAGGTTTTGTGTGTACCTAATTGTACCGTCGTATCAACTGACAGTCATCGTATGTACAGATTGAAATTCATACAGATTCATTTATTTCTCAAATATAACATTACAGTATGAATTGCACTACATGTCAAAGTATAAGAAATTATATTGAGATCGTCAGACAAAAAGGAAAATTATATTGTTATAATTATATATATAAATAATATTGTTGTCGTTAAATTACGTATCAAATATCATTCTCCATCAAGGATTGTCATAATTTGATAATAAGTATACAAAAGTATGTCAATGCGATAAAAATTAGAATAAAATAGAAAATACTCAATATCGTTACAATTTTAGGTCCATGAATTCATTTACTCATTTAGAGTATAAAGGATTTTTCAAGAAAAGGTATTTCAGCTGGCGCCTAAATGTTTCGTCAGATGTTTCAAGTCTGAGAGTAGCTGGTAAACGCTCATAGTAAGTAGGTCCGATGACACGCGGGTTTTTCTCTGCAAGTGCCATGCGTCGGGGGACTGTTCTCAAATGACCGGTACGGCCAAATGGGTTGCCTGTTAAGTTCAGAAGAACATTTACAGTGATACAGTCGGTGCCCTCACATAACTATTTGTACTGAGTGCTGTAATACAAACCCTACCGTACGGGATCGGGAGTTTAGCTTGGAAATGGCTGCATATTTCTGACGCCAAGCTGAGCCAAATTAATGCGATTACATACAAAGATCTGCCCCAGTGGCCGAACCGCTGCCATGCTGGTCTGCCACGCAGAGGTCCCAGCTCTCGTCAGTTTGAGTGTAATTTGTGGTTATATGTGAGTCCATGACACCCGAGACACAGGGTTTCTTTAGTGCGGGGTTATGAGTGTGTGCGTTAATATAATAGTCATTATTATTACATTTTAAAAGACCGAAGGTTAATTGTGTCATCGCACTTACCGGCTATAACTAAGTCATCAGAGTATTTGAAGGAGGAAGAGAGGAGCTGTTCCGCATCGACAGGCAGAGGTTCAACGGTGTCCCCGCTGAGGCTATAGAGGGTACCTCGCAGAGAGGGTACCAAACGCACCCACTTACCGCCCGCAGTGAGCTGAAATAATTTCCTTGTAGTTAAACTATTCTATATAAAATGTAACCACCGTTATCAAGTCATTGTACCAAATATAAATTGTAACTACGAGAGTTTTTAGTTAAATTTTGTTATAACAAATGTTTATTTTTGTAATATTAAATGACGGGACCAACAAGTCGTGCGCCTGGTGGTAAGCTACACGCCTGTCCATAACAGTAGCAGTGCCACTCAGAGCTTTAAATCGCAAAGATCTGAGGGGGCACTGCCACTGCGCCTATGTGTCTGTAATTTCACCAGCGCCCTTCAAAACCGCACGTAATAATGGTCAAACGCAGTAATGGTCACATTGCGGCTTGACGGGAGAAAAAAGGTGGCAGTAGGTACTTCCCTGGAAGAACTCTTTTACAAGGACCTCTACTACCTGCTATGGCTGCTACCTACCTATACGATAAGTTTGTTGAATGTTTCAAACGATTTGTTGGGTCGCTGTGCGTTTATGTGTATTGTGGCATTTATAATGATTTGGGAGACACGAGTATTGTCTCCTTACCTATTTCTGCCGCCAAGCAGTGATGTGAGCTCTAATGAGTTCCGGTTTCGAAGGGTAAGGGTGCTGCCGAAATTACAGAAACATGGGACTTGGCAAGTCACGTCTCAGGGTGCGTCGCGGCAGTGCCCCTCATATCTTCGTGATTTAAACCTGCAACTGGCACAGTAACCGCTATGGACATGCGTGTCGTTTCCCACCAGTCACACAACTTGTTGTTATTATTCAGTGTTGCCAGACTTTTGCGAAATTAATTCGCCAATTTATGTGCGCCAAGTAGCCGATATTCGCACAAGCCAGCGTTGCCAATGTTAATTATTTAAATACCTAAAAATCAAAGAAAGCCGAGTTCCTATTCCCCAGTTCCCCACATGTAGAAATACTCAAAACCCCAAACGAGTTGTTTAAAATTGTTCCTATTCTCCTCTACATTCCACACTCAAGTTTGTAATTCTCCCGACATTTTCTTAAATACCTTAAACTATTTAATAAATCTATCTCGTATCGTTCGGTTCATCACACGCGCAGACACGTTGAAACTTGTCTGAACGACCGTCACTTGCCGAAAGTGACCGAGTCGCCCGACAGCGATTACACCTAGTTGGCTCCGATTGACTTCGGCAGCAAACTAGTCATCAAACGACAGCGTTTACACTGGGCAAGTGAAGGTGATCTGTCGACCTCATGTAAACGCACCATAAATCCTATCAGTAGGGGAAAACAGTGCCGATAAGGACGAAATGTAAACAATAAGGGAGAAGTGAAAAATGATGATGATGGCCAATAATGATGACAAGCTCACACATTTTTAAGGTCCGTCTACACGGTCGAACTTTACCGCAAATAAGTTTCAGGTCACGCAATATTCACGCACCAACGCATACTTGCTTGTGTATGTTTAATCGCCGTATTGACGGGCTTTAAACGGGACATGATTTCTCATTCATTTTGATGACCGTAAAAAGTTAAATTACTGAAACGCAGCCACAATCACAAGAATGAATTTATTGGATGAGATACGTTTTTATATTACCTAATATTTAAATAAAATTTTCTTTTTATTATCGCAAGCAGGAGCAAGATAAATAATAATTGAACTAAATTCGCATCGCATTATAAATATTTGAGCATATTACGTTATATCAAATATTATACTTATCACATTTCTTTATTTATACGATTAAACTAGCAAATACAACACGGTGATTTCGCGTTTCGTCTCGCGAGCAAGTTAACGTCGTCGCCGCGACGGTGATTCATCCATGTATGACTTAACACACTAACTACGTATTTTTTGCTATTCTTATTCAAGCTCTTATTTAAACTCCCATAACTCTGTGTAATTGGGACCTATATTATTATTAGTATTTCGCATAGTAATAATAACATAGTTCCATAGTTTTATAAGTTTGAATAAGTCACATATTTTGCAGAATACTTATTATGTATATATCGCAAAACACAAAGCCACGCAGCTTAGTAGGTACACATACTGTTATTTTCTACATAAAAGCTAGATATGTAAACTAAACAACATATTTTGAATGAAGAATTACGACTGTAAATTTATTCCCCTTTCATAAGTATGCAACCCATTATTATGGCAGTGCTAAACCAATTCACCACTCTCCATTTTCAAATGAACTAGCCCTTCTTTCTGTTGTAGCTTCAAATAGGATTGAATTACAACAGATATCAAAGTAGATGTGAACAAATGTATGGCATTGTACTATTTAGGTAGTTACTGAATTCAAGGTACCTAGCAGTAATTCTTGTGAACACAAACAACTGTATAGCATAAAAATAATTACAAGTTCACATACTAAATATGACAAAACAAAAAATTATAACTTAACCATTTTACAATTTATATCAACAACATTTTTGATAGTCTATTACTTTTTTTAAATCTTATTTTTAATAAGGCCTGTAACACATGAGTGTCAATGTTCGCCTTGTGATGTATTGACATGGATTATTGTACTCTCTCATGTCACCTCATAATGAGAGGCAAGATCTCACATATGAGTACAAAGTTTTAGCCCACTTCACCAATGGGTTACCCAACACAATGTTTAACTCCCCAACCCGCCAAATATCCCCTAATTGAAATTGCCTTCTTATAGCCACATTCCAAATATCCATAAAATGGAGCATATCTTCAAGTTGGTTACAAAACTTTCATAGAGGAGATTCCACTCTTTTTATTAGATGATAGAACTTATTTAAGGGAAAGTGGTTAGCGTGAAGTCAAAAAACTAAGACCAATGCATTTCTAGAAAGTGTGCTGTCCTCAAATAGTCTATACTTGTAGCCAGTATCTCAATTAGTCTGTACTTACCTCAACATGATGTAGATTGGATGACAGAAGTGGTTGAGTTTCAATGTGCCAAGCTTTCATTCCATTGTGAGTTGCAAATGCAGTCAATCGACCGTCTATTGTGCTCACAATAACCAAACTGGAACAGGACAATACTTGTTAAAGCATTTATTAATCAACTGCTTATATAATTCCTCACATGTCCTAGATATGGATGGTGTTCATATTGTACCCTGCTGTAAGATTTAAGAGCCATATGATTGTATCTGTAGCAGCTGTGTTTTCATTCACCATTTTTTGTACACAGAAAAACACCATACCAAAAAAATTAGAGATGCATGGTGGGTTCAAATCCTTTTCTAAGAATATTGGATAGAAATTTTGAATCATAAATACAAACCAGCAGCAGCACAGTAGCATTTTACAGTACAATGTGAATTATAGTTGAGCTGCACGAAAGTAGCAGAAAATATTAGCTGCATAATGGATACTAGTCTGTATGGATCATGTTATTTTTTCATTTTTATAGAGCTCTGTATAGTAAGCACTGCCCATATTGGTGATTTAAAAGACCTTTTAAAACTTTTGTGGACTTCAGGACCATGCTATGTATTGTTTGTATTAGGCATGTTCACAAATCAAATTTAAAGTTGTTATTAACAATATAAGGCAAAAAGCAAAAATAATTTACTGTAAAATGAGTCTCATTTACTTTTTTAATAAAGATAAGTATTAAAAAGACATTATTGCGAAACAAGTATAAAAATAAACTAGAGACATTTCTGATTGTTAAACCATGTATATAATCAAAGTTGGCCAGTTCATAATGTTCACATATTAATTATGATGTAATATTATGCATATACAATCAAGAAAATTAAAAGTGCGTATAAGTCAAACAGATGCGTTTCTGTGAGTTTATTGTGGTAATAGACATTATTTATCTAATTTTAATAAGTCCTTGAGTTTGAAAAGTCTAAAACGAAAACTTGTTCTTAACTTTACGAATTTTCATACTTTTAGTAAGTTGGTCGGAGGAGACGAGTATAGATTCTATACTTACTCGTTGCTCACTCCGCTGTTTGCTGGATTGCAGAACGGTAACTTTTGTATATTATCATCAGCGCGAAGATAAGAAGCACAATAACTGAGCACAAAAGCTGCTTTCAGTGCGATCACTCGCCAATACCAACCCGACATATTAATATACTACAATATTCGGTCATTTCAGCCTCGAACCGGCGTAGTTAGGTTTTATTACGAAATTGTTGAGCAGATTAGACTATCACAAAACTCTAACTTTTATTTTAACAATCGTTCTGAAACTGCAATTCCACGTAAACCCAGACAACCGACGTAAGTGTCAATGTCATTGTCAAAGTATTTTTTTAGATCGACGGCAGTGTGCCACGTAATAATCATAAAACCGATTTAATATTATCAATTTATCATGAACCATTACCGGTAAATTATGAAATTTTTAATTCGTAAATAAATAATGTTCATTGTTCCAGTATTACTATTTGGTTGCGTTGCGGTCATGAACCTGACTTAAAAAGGACTTATCGTTCATCTGGCGCTGTTAGTTTGCGTTACAATTTAAAATATTTGTTTAAGTAGGTACAAATATACGTATGTGTCTATTAACATTAAATATGACGACAAAATGAAAAATTCTATACTTATCATTTATATTTATATTGAGCTGAAGATAATGATCGTTTTAAACTCAATTTAAAGACTTATTCACATTAGGACAGTACAGACAACAGGTATAACTTTATCGTTTAAATTAATAGTACATACAAGCAACTAAACAAAAACAAAAAGAAAGATGTTAACGAGCGAGCGATCAATTATAACATTATGTAAGTACTAAAATTAATCACATAAATTGGTAAAAACACAATGTTCTTGACGGGCCGCTGACAAATGTTCAAATTAAATTCTTCGAGCGTGCCACTGCTCCACTGCTGCTTTTTAGCGCGGACCCGACGTCCATATAATTGTAAGTCAATGACTTGAGCACAGTAGGTGAAATAAAATTAAAAAATTTAATTAAAATAATATTTTGTTAATAACAGACATTTTGTTTTGTGTTCTTTTACTTTTTGTTCCTTCGTTTTGTGGTATCTGCGTATTGTTAGTTTTTGTCAATTTAAGTGTATATTCATTTCTTAGAGGATGGAAGAAAATAAAGGAAATTCATTTAGATTTCACATGAACATGACTTACAAATTGTTGTCATAATAAATAATTTAGACCACGGTTTTATTAAACTAAAAAAGGAAAATATCGGAAACGATAAAAAATTATGTTTGACATCGATTTCTCGTTCGGTTTTTCAATACTCTATTTCTGACATTTTGTTTGACGTAACAAATTTTCGATCTTTCTTTCGCGATTGATCTCTGACCCAGAGTGGAGTGCTTCTTTTAGTTGCCTTCTTTAGTCTGCCATTGCCGGCTTAGTGATCTTCATATTTGTAGTTAGAAAGTGCCCTAGCTGTCTTCAATCCAAATTAAATATCAAATTGCAAAGCTGTCTTCGAACGGCAACATGACGATCAGCCCCAGTTTCATTAAAAAGAACAAGTAAGATTTGCTATTTGCTTTTTAATGTTCAATTTGTTGGGTAGTGCATAAACTAGGAATTGTTAAAAATAAATTCCCGATATTGACCAAAGAGAAGTGTCTCCGTTGCGGAGTGACCGATGTGAGGCGATCCTAATAGTTTACCTGTCTTTGTTAGTTCATTTGACCATTTGAATTTGATGGGATCATTCACTTTAAAGACCGAGCAAACTTTACTCTCATTGTTAATCTCTTTATTCCATATTAAAACAAATTATAAGTATTATTGATTTTTGTGCAGGCAAAAATATTCGCTTTCCAAGACATTTCCGAAAGGAATTCGGTGTCAGAAATGTTTGGAGAGGGGCCACTGGAGCTTTGAGTGCAAGGGGAAGCGCAAGGTCCTTGTGCGGAAGTCACGCACACAAATGTTGAAGCAATTTTTGAAGGAAAAAGATGGTGAATGCAGGTATGTTAATTTGTGAGTTCTATTGTATTTTCTACCTCTAGGCTTGGGTCAGAATCAGTTTCGAGGGATGCGGCCATTTGTGACTTTCAAGAAATCTTGCTGTTATGCGGTTTTTATTATAATAATAATAACATTCAAGTGCAATTTATTGCTAAAACTGTAATGATTGTTAAGATAATTAAGGATTTTCTAAATTTCTACATTAAAAGAAATCTTTCATCTGTCTACCCTCACTCATTCATAATAACAATTTTTCTTTCTTTTTATATGCAAATGCGAATTTTTTCAGCATTGCCTTGTTGAATTGCTCTTATAGAAGTACTATTATTTATAATTATTATTTTATTTTCTGCAACTTTACTAATGTTTCTCATTAAAAAAATCCTAGAAAACATGGTCAGCAGAACTTATTTCATTCGCATTTTACATCTAATGCCACTTTTCATTTAATACTCCTCACCAAATAATCTATTGAAACTATTTTAACACAATGTCATCATTGCACATAGGCAATTATGAGACAAGAAGAGGTAGAGTTATTGTATGTACTTAAATATTTATTATTTATTAAACTTTAGAATTGTAGTACCTACTGCCACCTTAACTGTTTCTGCCATAAAGCAGTAAAGTGAGCACTACTTCATTTTGGTTTTGAAGGGTAATGGTGCTGGTGACAGGCACATGGGACTTGTCACATTGTCTCAGAGTGGTGGACAATGCCCCTCAAATCTTTACGATCTAGAGCAGCTACTATGGACAAGTGTGTTCCTTACTGCCAGGTGCACAACTTGTTTCTCCTGTAACCTAATAATTGTAAAAAAAAAACTTGAATTCAAAATAAATGAAACTACACTCTGTTCTTATAATTTTCTCCATTGATGATAATATTAGCCAATAAGTTGTTGAGGACTGCTAATCGCGTACAAGACAACATAGTCAGGTATTTAATATCTATTTGTACACCAAATGACATGACGATTAACCAAATAGCTATTTTTGCAACTAATTTGTTTAACATTGACTAACAACAATTTATCAAAGCTAGGTAGGTACACTAATTTCTAGTGATAACAAAGAAATCAACTAGATGGCGCTTGTTTTTACACAGATTTTTATGCCGGATTTTCTTTTAAATTGTTTAATTAAAATTAGCGCCATTTATTTATACTAGCGTTATTTTATAAATAACACACAATGCTGTCTATAGACACACATATTTGTCAAAGTTCACAAAATAATTTTTGCTCATGGACAACATTTGAATAATAATAGAATCGTTTATTGCAAAACATGTTGTTACATATAGGTCTTATGGTAAAGTATCAAACATGTACCCTATAAGGGCGCAGCAATGTGAAGTTTGAGATATACATTTTGATTACAATTAATTATAATATTATTACAATGAAAATAAATAAATCTAAGCAAATATATTCCGAAAGTTATATGAATTAATTGTAAAATGATTGTCAAATTGAAATTTAAAGTATTTTAAAAATCAATAATTTAATTATGAATAATTAACCAATTAATTATTCGTCAAATTATTCTAGAATTGTATAATAATAATAACATTTGTCAATTAAGTCTTCTTAATAATTGCGTTTATTTATTCCGTGATATTATTATAATGTATTTATTTTATTACATTGTTAAAGAGGAATCATTTTATACATTGCCATTTGCAAAATATAAAATACTTCCAGGCTATTAATCAGTGCCATCTATTTTTACCCTTTTTACAGTTGTAGTATGTAGAGCAATCCTCTAGAGTTGTTTGTCCATGATGACAATTAAAATACTTTATAAAAAGCAAGTAATACGATATTATTTGCAATTTCTTTTTATTAATAAACTGTTAAAAGCGTTGTGTGATTTCATAGTATGAAAAAATAGGTTTTTTTCATTTCCAATCTGTAATACCCCAAGAAATCTTGTTGAATACATACATACATATCATAATCAATTTTTGTCTAATATTATTGTATACAATTATTCATGTAAATCATACATCAGGTACAATCAGTGTACCCTCTACCTCTTGTACCATTTTCATGGGCTGACTGGTGAAAAAAACATACATCTATTTTTATTTTGTTTTATTTGTTATAAAGCAAAACAAACCTAGCCATTTCGCAAGAATAATAAGCAATTTTAATTTTATATACAAGTAACTTATATAAAGAAATTGTCCATTGCCAAAATATCTTTTAATATTAGTTAAGGGGGAGACACTTCGTTGATGTGTTCATAGTCTTATTAACACTGACACTAATATTTATTTTATTCACTATAACTTAATTACACTAACACAAAAGGTACGCTACTACGCTAGACGCTGAAGGTACTACGCTAAAAACGTACATAGCGTCACCAGTTGTCAACCCGTGATCAGCCAGTGCAACTTGACAACTTGAAACGTGTTAATAGGTAGACGTGCAGATACCAATTGAATCGGTTTTACCGCGTTTCTTGCCCTCAGTAATGATGTTATTTTTAATATTGTCGCGTTACTTTCTCAAATTCGTATCTTAACGCACAAAAATGGAAAATATATTCAAATTTTGCAGGCTGATTTCACACACATTACCTTCATATTCACACACAGGCTTTTACCTGTTCTTAAAGTAATGCATTCAAATTAACCCCCTTGATAAGAAATTTAAAATAAATAGATAGTTTTACCGTCTCCTGAATAATCACTCTATAAGATACGAGTTTGAGAAAGTAAGGCATCGTATGCGTTCTTGAAGATGACTTGTTCTTATAATTTTCGAAGTATTCGAAAATTAAAACCTTTTTATCTCCTGAAGTCAAAAATAGCAGCGGCGTGGCGGCAGCGATAGCTAATTTATTATTATTAATTTTCTGAATGTAAGAAGTGAAATTTGTTTTATATGAAATTGTTATGATGAGTACATACCTTTTTTTTTCTGACCATCACCTGTGAAAATATGATCACTATTGATCACACCTATTTCTTACAATCTATTTATATATAAGTATAATGTTCACATAATTCGCTTTGATCACAACACATTCGATCTCCGTGGTCGAGTGGCTTGCACGCCGGTTTTCATGGTGTTTCGCCATCTCCGAGGTACCGGGTTCGAGCCCCGACCGGGTGAATGTACTCCTAGAAATTAACTTTCCTATATTGTTTCTGGTCTGAGTGTTTGTAGTACTGTCGGTGTTTTTCGATGTCCATAACACAAGTGCTTTAGTTACTTTAGGATCATAGCAACGTATGTGGTTTTTGTCTAATATGTTTATGTATGAAAGGTCTGATCTTTTTGTACATATTTTTTTTATTTAAATTCAAGTTAAGGTTCTTATTGGTGTGGAGTAGTCACCAACCATATCTGTTTAGCGCCCTAACTTGCGTTCAATACATCTTCAGGGCAATCTTATCTGTTCTAAATAAATTTCTTTAAGGGTCGTATTCCAGAACTCTACCCAATGCTCAAGTCAGGACTTGAGTATGATTTCAAGCGCTGGAAATACGACCTTAAGGGCAAGTACTTGAGTATGATTTCTAGTGTTTGAAAACACACTCAAATCCTGTTTTGAGCATTGAGTAGAGTTCTGGAATATAACCCTAGTCTTCCCCTGTCTTTCTTTTTTTCGATCTACCCTTCTATAATTTCCCTTTCGTTTCTCTATTGTCTTTAATATCTTCTCTTTTCGTGCACTATTTTAACACCTCCTAATTGGTTTTTCTTTCTGTCAGATTCACTCCATTCCCCTAAGCATTCGCCTGAACACATAACGTAGTTCTATTTATCTACATACTCTTAAATTACAACGTCAGTCTAGCTTAAAAAACTATGTTGCTTAAATAGTGGTCTAGACATACACGGACTTCGCCAAGAATTAGTGATATTCTACTAATAAATGCTGCAAAGCAACCAATTGACTGTATTTTAATGGCAACACATACAGTTAGACATTAAGCGTACTAGGATATATTGTTTACTTGTTACATAGACTTATTATACTTATCATTTTAATGTCTTAATTATCACAAATGTTTAGTAGCATTATCAAATAAAAATAAATGGTTCTGTGTGAATACTTGTCAAGTTCAAGGTTTTGTTGTACGCAAGTATTTTTTCTTTTTCGCGATCTGGTATTTTATAAATTGCATACCAAAAAATTCAAAATTAATAGAGTAAATTTGTATTCTGTCTCTATTTTTAACCGACTCCAAAAAAGGAGGAGATTCTCGATTCGACTGTGTTTTTTTGTGTGTGTTACGTGATTACTGCGTATTTGTGAACCGATTTTGACGATTCTTTTTTTTTTATGGAAAAGGTACCTCAGTATTGGTCCCATTTAAATTTGAACCACATATTCCACCTCTAAGGGTGGCGAACTAGGGGATGAATCCGGTTTCGCGCACTTTCCGGTAACCGATTTCAATAAAACTTGCCATATAGATGTAATTCAAATAATAAAAACAAGTTCTAATTATCTATTTCTGTAGATAATTGTCCTGTATCGGCAAAGGCGACTGATCCATTTTTTCTTTGTTCTGAACTTGTCCCTTTTTCACATGAATGTTATTAGTGGGATTTCTTACTATCCTTCAGCTCAACAATATAGATAGGCATTTTGTCTTTAACACCCGCATTTAGCATTGAAAATGTTTACGATAATACTTGGCCCCCAATAAACAAGAGGCTCCAGCATTTCCCGTTGTATTTTTGAAAGAACCTAGGGTGTGCCCAACAGCCGCGTTTTTGTATATATAGAATACAGGGCTACGATAACAACACCTTCTTGAAGTTAGATAATAAGTTATGCGTTAGTGAAATAGGGTATGCGTTGAGTCCATAATAGTGTAATTTTTTATACTACATAAATAAAATAGCTCCGTTGTACATGAGTTAGTTAAAAATGGTGTAATATGTTAGTGGGTTTGGACCCTGCCCAAACGAAATATGTTAATATTTGAATAACTGTGTATGGAAACTTCAAATTAAATCAGGGCATTGAGTTGCTTCGTCGCTGAATTATACACCCTGCTTATGTCAATATTCCTCACGGTATTAAGTTTAAGTAAAAATTTATTAGTACATTATATGTATGCACATCACGTTTACAGAGTACACCATATTACACCTTTGGGAGCCTGAAATGATCTGGCTGACCCGGTCAGTTTGAAGCGCTTTTAAAAATTTGTACCCAAAGGGCAGTTTTACAATGACACCGATACATTCGTCTTATGATGCAAGAGCTCTTAGTCAAGTGGCCATTGACTACGAGCCACCACTCTATGAGAACCACTTTATGGTGTAGCACAATATATATTTTTTACAAAACTATAAATCTAGGTCATAAAAAGACCGTTAAATTATAACCATCTCATCCTTTTGTCATATAGATAAAGAAACGGAAAATAATGGAGTCTCAATTAACCTAGAATCTCAATTAGATATGAGTATAATAATGTAAAAGCCGCGCTTCATATGATTGTTGTGACGTTGAAGTATTAAATTGAATATGTTCAGTGAATATTGGTAATTTTTTGTTACAGTAAAGGGAATTGCAAACCTTCCAAATACAAGAGGAGAATGTGCTCAGATGCAGATTGTGAAACCAGTGACAGCGATTTTGATCGCAAGTGCAAAAGCAAGAAGCCCAGGCCCTTGAAGAAATGCGCTGGAGGCAAATGCGCTGGAGGCAAATGCGCTGGAGGCAAAAGCTCTGCCGGCAAATGCACTGGGGGCAAATGCGCTGGAGGCAAATGCAGCAGAGGCAAGTGCGGCAAAGGTAAATGCGGTGGAGGAAATTGCGGACGAGCTGGTTCATCTTCGGACAGTGACTCAGATAGCAGCAACAATCAGAATAACTCTGACTCTTCGGACAGTGAGTTTGAGTCAAGCGAGTATGATTCGGACAGCACTAACGATTCTGGAGACTGCAACGACTCTGACAGTTACTGATTGAAACCAGTACCAGTCACTAATGCCGAACATGAGGACAGCTGGCAGTCCTGGAGTTCTTTGAGCTCGGTGGATGGAACTGTCAAACTCATTCAATACTTGAATAATTGCTGCCCAGATTCGGATAGTTCAAGTGACTGGGACTAAATTATTAATCGTAAATATCAGTTTAGAGCAGGTACATTTTTCTCTTAGGTAAGTGTTCTTCAATGTTTCGTTGCGAAGGATTCTTTTTAATGCAAGTTTTAAGAACGTATTTATAATGCTGGACATTTATATCATAGTTGTGTAAACATTTGTAATATCTATATTTTAAGACATTGTGTAATCGCCTAGAATTTCGATTTTGTAACAGCTTTGTCTTTTGTTGCAAGAGTTTTAGTAGAAAATTCACGTAGAGTAGAAAACATAGAATGTAGTATGGGTAAATAAAATTTATATTTAATGATATTTAGTATATTATGTGCGTCTAATATAATGTAAACTCAGTGATTCTAGCGTAGTGTTTATAAAGTACATAAAATTGCGAATTACTTTGTACTTTCTATGCGTAATACGAAATTTTATTTTTATAAATTATTTAAGTTTTTTTGTACTGTAGCAATGGTATTTCGAACATCGCTTCGTTAAACAAGAAAATAAGTGAAACGTATCAAGGACTATCAAAGCCATCACCAAATGGCAAAAAGGGTGTTTAAAGTAGTGCCATATCTACCGTAAATCGCCGAGTAATTTCGACTTTTCATTTTAATGCAAACAGAGATTGTTGTATTGTCTTAAAGCCGATCTCTATGGTAAAATAGTGCCCTCTGATGGCTCAATTACGGTACATGTGGCGCTATATTTACTGAAAAATGTCAAAATTAACCTCTCGCACGATCCTTCGTATGAAATCCTGACGTAGAAAGCGCCCTCTAATTAACGTGATAATGGTAGCCCTCATTGTAATAAATTATTTTTAGTCTTCGTTATAAACTATTTCTTTAGCTCATAATTGACATACAAATTTGTTACACGTAGTCTGAAGTCATTGTTAAATAAACAGCTATTATGGCATTTATGAAAAAAGCCAATAATTTATTAACATGACTTTTTTCATAAAATGGCAATCGAACAAATACAGTCAAGTGAAAATGTTCTGTACATTCAATGTAGCCAAAAAATTTGGTAAAAATCAACCTTAAGTAAATGAATTCAGTGTACACTTCCAAATATTAAAAAAAAATCTGCTCATCATTTTGACACCAATCTCTACAATGTACAGCCTTGTTGCCGGCCGGCCATTGTAGCAAAGAATATTATAATTTTTATTCATGCATATTGTAATCGTAATTTATGACTATTATAATTGGATGCTGAAGCAATAACGTGTCAATCTACAAAAGTCGAAAATTGAAATTTTAATGCCAAATTGTAGCTTGTCGTCTTGTCTACATTTTACAAACGAACTAAATGATTTGAAATATCCAAAAATTATAAAAATATTAAAAGATACTTGACAAAAATCCATTAAACAACCCGCGAAAAAATCATAAGCGTGTTCATAACCATGTTATTGACACATTATTGCTTATTAGCATCCAATTTATATTTTAGAATTTTGACGAAAATTCTAATTGTAATTCGTAATATTAGTATATTTAAGTAGGTATCACTTTTAATAAAATAGTTTTCAATTCATTCATTCTTAATGAGTGTTAATGAATGAGTAATGTATACATTGACTTACAATTATAAATGTATATATAAATATGGATTTCTGCTGCTAACAGACTGCATGCTAAATGATCGTATGTATTTTTTTTTCCCATCTTTATTATATGTCATAAAAACTTTTTACTTATTGACGGTGCCCTTTTGGGATTTTGACGATATGAATTATTCCGTTAAGTAATTTTATGGGTTCTGCTATTCAACAAAACTCGTGGGGGTGCTTTGTACAAGCTTACGTAATGAATTTTGGTATTGCTGATATCGTAATAGGTAGCCAGTTCTTTGCACCTTAACGTTTATTTTGTTAGATTAGTGGAGTTGTATCAGTGGAACATTTTGAAAAAGAGAATTATAAATAACTCTGACATTGGCGAAATTCACACAAAACTTGGTAAAAAAATGACATGCTTATTATGATTCTTATTATTTATCCTTATCATTACTTACTGTGAAAAATTTCCCTGTTTTGCAATGGCACAATCGCAAGTATCGGGAATAAACAAAAAAAACTCGTTTTTTATTTAACATTGTATTCTGTTCTAAGTCTAGGTATAGATATATATTATGTTCTTTTTGTAGCTTTTCTTAAGTGAGTATAACTCATATTGAGAAATTAAAACCTAAATGTTAGAAATAGTAAGAAAATAAATTAAAGTAAAATTATTTTTCTCATTGTTATTGAACCCCATTTAATGTTTTTTTATTATTCGAATCAATAAGCCAAATTGGCGGAATTGATGAGATACTTTTTATTTACATTGTTTTAATTTAAAATATTACTAGATTTAAACAATTAAATGGTATTAAGTGTGATGTTGTGAAAAAATAGTAATGATTAATGATTACCTTTGGATATACATATAAAATGTGCTAAGATACAATGTAAACAATTCTTCTATGTGAAACTTTTAATAAATATATAACATAATTTTTTGGTTTTTTTTTCTGTTGATGTTGATGAAACGATTTTAGTTTGGTAAAAAAACATCTAGGAGAAATATATTTTATGTATGGAAATCTGCTTCAATTGAAATATTTCGAAATAGTACAAGTATTTCGGAATTAATTTTTAGATCATTATTTTCGAAATTATCCGTTATTTTTCGTTGATTCCAGCCAATATTTGAAATAACACAATTTTGCGCAATAAATACCCCTTTTTAAAGCTCTTGTCATTGTTGATACAAAAATAAACGGTTTCGTATTATCATTATTTCCCTAAGGCGATTATCACACTGCACCGCGACCCGCGACGGAGCGCGGAGCTGCGTTTTTTAACATTGTACTGAAGTACCTCAGTTTGTATGGAAAACACGCGCCGTCGAACACACTGACAACGCTTCTCGCACGCGGTTTTACCGCCCCCCGCCGAGGGGCGCGGCGAACCGCTGTACATAGCACACTGCGCTATGCACTACCTCGCAGATTTTTAAGCTTAAGGACATGTTCAGTTTTCTGCAATAGATCGCGACGTCGATAAATTTATATTTGCTATTGAAAATCGACCAAATTTATCTTCATATTTTCGTAAATTTTTGTAATGAAGTTGAAATTATCCATTTATGGATTTGGTTCGTAAAAAGTGATGTATCCTATATCTTCGGTGTCTTTTTATTGATTAAACAAAAACCAAATCGACAGTATAACTGTAGCGTTCTGTATTATTAACTGTTCTTGTCAAAGAAGGATCTCCGCTACTTTTTTTACGAAGCGAGTAAAACAAGGAGCGGTGCAGTGTGATAATCGCCTAATGGCAGCAGCAAATTATTTACTTATTTCCTTTTGGAAGAAAGACTTCGTATTTTACAACGACATACAGCTATGTCCATAAAAACAGTGTCATCTCTTTTAAATATTAAACGGCATATCCACCAACTCAACGTAGTACAGTGGGCTGAAAATACGTTTTCGTCGAAATGGCAAAACATTTTAGAAATCTTAATTTTTGATGGAGGGAATTGGTTCAGACAATTAAGTTCAATCAATTTAAATTGGAGCGAGCAATGCTCAACGTTTCTCTACGTGATCGAATCTAGAGATCCGTAGAAGAACGAAACTTACCGACACAGCTCAAAGGATTAGCAAGTTGATACTTCAACAGTTCGCAGTGGGCAGGGTATGTGCCCTGTGGATGTGCATTCGGCTAGCCTGGAACTCTTCGGGGGAGGCCTATGTTCATCAGTGGAGGTCTTCTGGCTGATGTGATGAATTTAATGTTATTTTGCTGTAACTCGCTATTTAATCAATCAATCAGTCAATCAATACTTTATTGCATTTTCTACAATGTTTTACAGGGTGGTAGATTTGATATTTGACAGATCTTTGTAGACGCTGGATAGGGCACAGCAAACTGGTGAGGAGGACATACTTATAATAATAAATTAATCTTTCAAATCATTATCCTGGATAAATTCTGAAACAGCATAGTAACATTTTTCTATTAGCAGACTCTTTACTTTTTTTATAAATATGTCGCTTTTCTCATTTACTAACGACCTTGGTAATTTATTATAAATTCATATTTATCTACCAATTTTGACATACCTCATAGTACGAGTGCGCCACTCACTAGATTCTGGGCAAAAAAGTAAAAGTACTTTTATATTTTTCTTGTGTTCTCGTTTTATTTGCAATCAGTTTCAAACTATAACCAAATGCGTGGGTTATTAAGCTTCTATTCTTTAAACGGTAAAAATGTCTTTCCGCTTTAAGGCGCTTTTCATAGCTTCGAGTTGTCAGCTTGGCTGCCAGTTCGTTAGGGTGTTTTTCTAGCCTTTTTGGGTATTACTTGGAAATGCTTCCGCTACCCCAGACTTGGATGCCTTACATCCAGGCAGATTTTTATAATTTCTTCCATGATTATTTGCCCAAGGTGGTTATATTCATTTTTATTTCAACGCTCACAAAGTAGCAATACAAATTCTTGTGAAATAGGTCGTCCAGGAAAGTACTGCTTTTTGCCGCTAAGCAGTATGTGAACATTACTGCATTGCGGTTTAGAAGAGTAAGTCATCATCAGTGAATTTTTCCGAAATCTGGCCGCCGTCTTGTCATCCGCTTCACGTTCATAACAAACAGGTTTTTTTGTATGGAATATCTTCAATTACTGCCTAAATGTGTGTTTAGTATAGACGCCGTGCTGATGCGTGGTGACAATTTGAGTGCCACCATAAAGGTTGACAAGCTACTTTTTGATTCTCAAATGCTAGTACATATTAACTTTTGGTATCCAGGTTCATGCAAGCTAAGTAATTTATAAAATATTAATTTTAATTAAATATTGCGGTATTATTATATTACATTCATATACAAAAATAGGTTTAGTATGGATGGATGCAGTGCTAATACGTGTTGTCGTGTGGTGCAACCCTTAATATTACTGTACTGCTTATTGCTCAGCGCAGAATTTTTTGTAATGTGTGGCCAGACCATAACGTGTATTTTTTGCAGCATGGTATGAGTATATAATTTACACCCTATGGACACGTAATAGTAAATGTTTTCTCAGCGTTAGCTCATTGCAGATTTTTTAATCTTTCCACGTATAATGTGAAACATCAGAGTGAAATCAAGTTGTAAAGAAATTGAGACTAATGCTCAGGCCACACAGAGGCGGCCGCTGAAGCGTTCCGGGCGCGGGAATTTTTGTAATGTACGAGTTCATAATGAACCCTGCCGCACTAAAACGCGCGGCGGCCGCGCGTCAGCCGTTCCCGCTCCCGAAGCGCTTCCGCGACCGCCTGTGTGTGGCCAGAGCATTATGCTTAGAACAACAAATTTAGATTTAATTTTATTTGCAGATGATACCAGACAATTTAAATGAGATACCACTTCCAAGTGACGGCGTATACTCGGTTATAATACTGTCAGATGTCGCGCCGCACAATCGTCTGATCTTTTAATGGTATTCAACAATATAAAGAATTAACATTTCATGTTGAATGTAAAGCTGAAAGAGAAACAGACGCAGGATTAGTCTCACAATAGACGGTTTGTTTCAATAAACAATGGTCGGTGCTTTAATTTATTGTATTAACCAGTCTATCGTGAAACGAGTTGAATCCGAATTTCTTTAGTGAAACCGCGGAAGAAAGAAAAGCAGTGAAACCAATAAAAGAGGCACAAGAACATGCATTGAAAATTATCGCTCTATAACTTTAATCCCCGTGCTGTCCAAAATATTTGAGAAATGCGTAAAGAAGAGGCTGCTAAGTTTTATTAATAAGCACAATATAATGAAACAAGAGCAGTGCTGGTTTCAATAAAAAAATCTACTACACTGGCTGCATTTCATCTTGTACGTCAGACACTGGAGAACACTAATGCAAAAATATCTACAACGGTGATATTTTTTGACACGACTGGCGCGTTTGACTTTGTGTCTATGACATTTTGCTGACAAAATTAAATAATTTAGATATTAGAGGGGTGACTCTTAACTGGTTTGCTTCCTACTTGGAAAATACGAAGCAAGCTGTGGAAATAAAACATTAAAAAAGGCTGTGTTGTGTCAGCAAGATCACAAAATAGAGTCAATACGTGTGGTGTCCCGCAAGGTAATATTCTCGGTCCATTATTATTCTTGCTCTACATAAATGATCTACCAGAGGTTACACGACACAAATGCATATTGTTTGCAGATGATATGTCAGCCGTAATTCCTTACAAAAATAAAATAATTAACAACGAATTAAGAACGAATTCAATACATGAATAATAAATCGGTTTAAACTTAATAATTTGATTGTTAACTTGACTAAAACTAGAGGCAGATTCTACAACATTCTTAGGCGTGAAAATAGACAGTAGTTGCAACTGGTCACAACACGTCGAGCCACTGGCAGATAAATGACATCGTTACGTATACGTCATACGGGAATTTTGCCGTTACAGTGTATGTATAGCTTAGAGGATGGAAAAAAATAAATGTATAGTCAAGATCACGTCAAGCTTGACACCTTTTACTTTGGACCGTTCTTATCATAAGTGGCAAAGAGTTGGATTTAAATCTTACGTGTCAAGCCGACGTGCTCTTGACCCTGTACATTTTCGGAGTGGCATGGTCTATTAAGTAAAATCTAAATCTTAAAAATAAATACAGATGTATATAGTAGAGATGTAAGGGACCCAAATAGACTGGTGTACAATAATAAACCTAGATTGTGTTATTACAAAAATCAATGTAATGGTAGGTTTGTTCGAATTTATAATGCTCTATCAAAAGACATTAAAGCGTTATCAAATAATTTGTTCAGAAACAGACTTAGTGAATGGCTTAGACACAAAAATCATTACAACGTGACTTGCTTTTTAGATAAATGTTAACATGAAATTAGTGTTTAATGTATATGATGTACATTTGTAATAATGATGTATAAATATTTAATAGTTTGACATAGAAGGTTATTATTTTGTTGTTTTTATTTGACTGATTATTCTTTGTTGATTATTAGATGTCGACATGAGATTAGAATGTGTATGTATGTTTAATGTAATAATGATGTATGACATTTAATAGTTTGACATTGATAGTTTATTATTTTGTTGTTATTCTTTGATTGATTATTCCTTGTACACGTCCGATGACAGTGCTATAATTAAATTCAATTGAAGTAAAATTTTATATGCCCAGTCAGGTAAAACATATGTTCTGTAATAGTTGCTCCATCTTATCACAATGTTTTAAACAAATAAAATTTCATTTCATTTCATTTCCGGGTTAGTTGAGGACGTCTTCAAATTAGACGCGAGTGCGCGCGCGCGCGCGCGGGCCGCGCGTGCATGTGTGTGTGCGCGCGTGTGTGTGTGTGTTTCAGTAATTTTTAGTTCACTAATTGCAACTGCAAAGAAAAGGACCCGCGTGTGTCACGACAGTGGCGCTGCAACTGCGCTTCTAGATATTGTAGGAAAATTAGCAGTGGTGCAGTAGAATCGCCACAGTGGTGTTGCTTCAGTGCTTATATAAGCGCCTAATTTGAGGGCGCCCTTAGTTACCGGTTTCTTTATAATATATAATAATAATGTTCTTGTAATGGCAACATGAACATTGATGTGAAAAGCCATTTCAGAGACCAAAATTGAATGTCATATTTTTAATGCTATAATTGTAAAGTATCGGACTCGTTCCAAAAGTACACATAAGCTGTGCATGTTGAACTAATGAAGTAAATATTATATGTTGTATTACCTAATTTTTATTTAATTATGTTTCTTAAATAAATGTCACGATTATACAGTTGTGTTTTGCAGGTAACCTACCTTTTTATAATGTTGGGCGCGGCGGCTTTTCCCAAAGCAAAATGTCGTATGTCATTAAACTGTGAAAATAGGTGTAGCTGAAGTAAATCAAATCCAGCAATCTTTCGTTTACGTTACGATTTGAACTTTGTATGGGAGGTCCATGATTAAAGCGAAGAATAATAATTATAATATGATGTTTTCGAACGATATAATTCAACATAGGCGAAACGATACGACATATTTTCTATTTAATCGGTAAATTGAATCAATGTGATCACTGTTAAAAAAATATGTTGAACAAAACCGGTAATTAAAAATATACCGGAATAAAATTCCATCCTTGGCTATACTAGCCAGATGCAGTTTTTTATAAAGTTTGTTTGTAGGGTGGCGGCGCGCACGACGAGCACTTGATGCGATTTTGATACTGGATATACGTAGTATCTCATACTAGTTCGTGTACTAGATATGGAACGAAATCGATTCAAAAGTAGGTATAAATGTAGGGTTAATTTTACATACTTTGACAGAGGGATGGATGGTGCCTCCCTTTCCATCCTCTAAGCTCCCTGTACTCTCGAAGCTTAAAAGCTTGACGTCCATTTCATTTGTTGGTAAGTCAATGCATGTATCCGAACGTAACATGTCAAAAAATATGTTAGAATCAGTTATAACCTCAAAATTTATGTGTAGTGGTAGTGTCGTAATGAGAATATTTACAGTTTTAATGATTTTAAATACGACATATACAAAATCATTGACTTATTCTATCTTTTAATTTGATTGAAAGGAAATGGCTAAATACATCGCACAAATAATAGTCCTGGGTGCACAGGTAGTCGGTCGCGCTTTTGCCCGTGCTTTAAAACAAGAGATAGCAGCGTCACAAGAGGCAGCAAAAAGAGCTGGCGGAGGTCCTGAAGGGAGCAGAAGAGCGGCTGCGAATGCTTCTACAGGGCTCACACTAGAAGAAGCGATGCAGATACTTAATCTAGACAAAATAGACTCAGAACAAGTTCAGAAAAACTACAACCACCTCTTTAACGTCAACGACAAGTCAAAAGGTGGTTCCTTCTACTTGCAATCAAAGATAGTGCGAGCTAAAGAAAGGATAGATGTAGAAATCAAGTCAAAAGAAACTACTAAACAGGAACAAAGTCCACCCAATGTTTCGCCATGAGACTTCTTTATTCCTACGCTGGCTAGATAAATTGTGTTGGTTATTAATCCAGTTTTAGATTGTTACTTTATTTTAGTAGAAACAAAGTGAATTTTGTAAAATACTTTTAATGCTTGTAAATGTATACCACAATAGTGACTAGAATAGGTACATCAGTCTTCAATATTATGTTGGTTAAATATAAATGTTACAAAATTTATAAACCTACTGAGACTGTTAAAGTACAGAACCATTACATCCCTACTTATTAATAATAAATAATATGGTTTAAGTGAGTTTCTTGGTTTTACTAAATTGATTATTTTGAGATATGAAGAAAATTACACTACATACACACCACTGATATAAGATCTTAACAACTATGAAATACAATGTCTTTTTCCTGTTAATCCTGATGCCTGTATAAAATTTCGGTGTTATTTCATCATTAAAATGTCATGTTTAATAAGCATCTCAATCTCGTGGGTTTTTCCATTATTCCTTGTTCTTCTCCTGTCGGGGGCAAGGCAATGTTAGAGCATTGTTTTGAAAAGTATTTAAAATTATAGTTTCAAAATAACTTTTTTTTAAATTGCGCAATTAATTCAGGTAGGCATTTTCACTATTTCTCAATTTCTTTATCCTTTTGTTTATAAACACCTTATGAGGTCAGTAGGTTACAACCCTTATTATTTGTGACTTTGAAACATCAATAGTTTAGAATTTATATGGCATTGAATAAGTAAAATAATAAATAGTATAAGTAAATATGCTTAGGATTAATTTCCATTTAACATCAAGTGGAATGTATAAAATAAACAGAAATCTTATTTGACTCGAACTTCTTGTTAAATTTTGAAAATTTTATTTAAATCTGCACTATGGGGCATCATACCACGGAAGCTAGCAACATTTCCCCTCTGGATGGCTAAGTATATTTTTCAGTGGAAGTAGGTGCCAGCAATCTTTAACAATGCAAAGCTGAGTCTCCTCAGAGAGGATTTTAGTCACCATGGAGCCCCATGTTTCCGGATGTTTGTGGCGGAGCCCATGCCACCCATGAGTGCATGGAATGGAGTTGGCCAGTGTCCATTGGTCGGTCATTCAATCACTATACAATTTCATACAGACATCAATGTTAATGAGGTACAATCATGACCTTACTTTAATTTTAGAAAAATGACTAGACTAGCACATATTGGAATGTTGCTTAAGTACGAAATGGAAGTTGGAACATTCACCTAACGACAGCATTGTTGCTCTTCCCTACAATTGTTTTATAAATATTAGCTACATTTCATTACAATCTTACCAAATGCATGAAATACATCAGTCTAATTATTGAGTAAAAATAGCAGTTGTAAGTACAAAATTATCAGTACAGTTTGATTTAAGCTGGTTTCACATCCATTAGCACAACAACTTCATATGGACTACATTCAGACATACCCAGGGCATTGCATAGCCAGCCATAAAAACCTTTCTCGAAATCGCATACATCTTTCCACCAATTTGCTCCGCTAAATGTCAACTGGACTATGCCAGCATATAGTCCCAATCCAACAGTAAATATAATTATCAAAAATGGATACGACAAGATCACAATTGGTGCCAAGAACACCTTTTTTATACAATTCAACTCCTCAGTTACATGAGTAAAAATGTTATACCAAGCCAGTGTTCCTATATAGAAAGAGTAAATTGCTGAAATACAAGTAACAAATGGTATGCATAACAGGCTGAATAAAAATACATGCGGTCCATTATACATGGAGCATTTTGATATATCCATCTTGTTGTATTCTTCAGCTACAATGCCCGCCTCTATAATCTCAAGTTCCTCTCTGGATATGTTCAGTTTAACATCTACATTCTGCCCTTTCTTTTTGCCTCTCTTGATTGTTCCAGTCATGGTCAAATAGCCTTCCTTCGAATTATCATTTAATGAGTAATCAGCTGAATTTGAGTCCTCTGAGTCAACTCTCAAAGCAGTGATTTCATTGTCAGTGTTTTCAGTTTCCGTAATTTCTGGTACAATGTTGACTCGTTTTTTCCTCTTAGCGCTGTTCTTAAGACTATCAGTAAGGGTTCCCAGTTCAAAGCTATTTTCCGATTGAGTTTGAGTCATGCTGCATGGTGTAGCAGAAGAACTGTCATTAAGATCAGAGTTAAAAATTTTGCAACTTTTCATTAAGTCATTGTCATGGGATTCCCTTAAATCACCATGGCTGGAGTATCCTTCAGATGAGTTTTCATATATAGGTGACAAGTCCATGATTTCTCGACTATTATGTATGGAAGATAGGGGCTGGTAGATGTTCCTCGGCCCAGTTATCAACTTTTGTTGGGAATCTGTATCTTGTATGTCATTGGTTTCTTCATCATTGACATCACTGATGATTGGCAAGTTTATTTTCATGTTTGACTTGAGACCTTCCATAGTGGAATGTATGGTACCATTAACAACATGTTCCGTAACTGGTGAAAGGTTCTTGTATATTGCCGGCAAGTCGGGTTCTTCTACACCCTGTAAACAAAAGTTTATAAGTATACCATAAACAAAGCTACATGGAACAAATTACATGTGATTGGCAAGTACCATATTAACCAAGAAAAAAGGTTTGTGCATCGAAATCAGCTGCATCCGGCCTAAGCTTAGAAGATGGAAAAAAGGTATCCGTAGTCTAAGAGCATAAGGCATGTCAATCAATGCCATTATGTCGCCCGCCTTTATTGAAACAAAAGTCACGGCGAGTGCGTATACCACAAACAACAAAAGAACCGAACAGCAAGAACCAATTGACAACACATATTTTAAAATGCTTGTGATACTAGTACTTCAGAAACTTACGGGCGTCGCCTCGGCCTCGGCACTTCTCACGAAAGTTTTATCGTAAAAATAATAATGGAACGCATACAGAATAAATATACAAACAAAAAATGTTTTTACATATTATATTGATTTACATTCCTTATGAATAATAAATAGGTAATATACCTACTTGAACGCATATGATATGGTCGACATGGCTGACAACATTATTTTGCTTTTTCCCGTTTCTCTTCTTTGGTAATATAAACAAAGGTTGATCCACTTTAGCCATAGTAAAGTTTTAGTCAAAGAATGAGGGTTTTTTTTTATAAATCAACAGCACTAACTCGTAAAGCAGCAAAATAGCGCATAAAATACAAACATCTTACAATACTACTACTATGTCATTCTCTTTGATTAGTAACTGTGTAGAGAGAGGGTCGATGAACGCCGCGTCCTAAAACTCGCGTGATAGCAACATCTGGAAACTGTAAGAGTAAAAGAGAAAGTTGTAAATATCCTTTACTTCTATTTTGTAGTACAAAAATGTTCGTTTAAAACCTTGCTATTGAAATCTTGGCCGCAAACAAGTGGAGTTGTCTTTTGCAAAAGTTCTTAAACGAAAATTGTATTCGTTATGGTGATCATCGAGTAAGCAGAGTGGATTCACAATAATAATAATAATTTATTTTCGATTGAATGAAACCGTCAATAATCTATTTTAAGTTCGGGACTATAGTGAGTGATGGTTCTCCGATCTCATAATGGTTTCTTTTTCTCATAACGGAAGCGGATGGTGTAGATAATGTGTGCGTGTGTGTACGTGTGTGCGTATGCGCGCACGTGTTTGTGTGTGCGTGCGTGCGTGCGTGCGTGGGTGCGTGCGTGCGTGCGTGCGTGCGTGTGTGTGTGTGACGTGTACTTTATAGTTTCGAGTGCTTCGAAGTTTTGTTTAATAATTCTTCCGTCTTCTCATAACATAACTCCTGCCTGCCATATGTATGTACATACATAACTCGTTACGAAATAGAATCTCAAAATAATTGATAATCTTTTCTGTAGATAAATACTGTTTCCTTAGCTGTATCTTTATTTCTACCATAGGGGTAACCATTTCAAATAATCCCAGGTATGTTTTCTTGTCTATCCGAAGGTAGTTTTTAAAATCTTCAGGTACTTTTAAATCATTCATTAAATTGACGTGATTACAAGTTTTTTTTTACACTACTTTCTTCGCTTCTTTTTTACCGGTTTTGTATTATTATTTCTTAAGCTTAATTCAAGACTTGTCAAAGACAACACATCGTCGTCGTTTTCAATCGATGCCATATCGAAGTTAACTGAAGAGGTCTTCAGCATATTTATATTCATATAGTATACGCCGGAGAGGTCTCCAGCATACCAGGTAGTCCTACGACAAGCGCATGCGCATGTATGCTTGTACCTCTCCGGTGTCACGATCTCGACACAAATTTTTACTTACTTGTTAATTGATATTAGTTTCGTGAAATCAATTTCAACAAGCATGAAATAAGTTTCATAAGAGTTTCGTAATGTATGTACATTATTTGGCATAATGTCATTTCTTTGATCCTTTCTTCCGATCTATTTTTCTTTTTCGTGAAAAAATTTACCCTATTTTGTACTGTCACCATATGACTGTCACAAAGAAAACAGCGAAGTGCCTAAAACAAAACAGCATAGAAGCAATAAAGTGCAACAGAAATTAGAAATAAAGTGCACTAATAAAATGCACTTTGCCTTCCTAATCCCGTTTCCAGATTTCATTTTTACGTTTTAATAAGTTTCTCCATTTTAACAAGTAAAAAATCTTGTAAGTGACTGAAACTTAACCACGTTGAGCCAAGAAAAAAAATCGAATAAAAAAACATCCAAAGTAAATGGGGTAGGGCTTGCATTAAAAAATGGCGGGATTTTGAAGTTACAAGTGCAGCTTTTACCAAGATTATTTTTATTTTAAGTATATTATGAAGACAAAACGAAGAAAGAAACAATGATGAAAAAAGTTGGAACTATATTCTTTATTTTAAACGAAATTACAAAAGAATACCTTAAAAATTCCAATAATTACGAATTCAAAGTTTTTGTTCAAAGTGACAGAAGATAATGTGATTTAATTGAAAGTGAAAACATAAATATTAATTCCCGCCGCTTAAGACTATTTAAAATATAATTTATGAGAAAGTGAAAACTATGTATTAGAACCACAATGAAAAATATTATTGAGGGTCCCGATAACTAAACGAAGACATGGCTCAAAGAACTTGTATCCAAGCCAAAACTCTTAATAAAAAATAAAAAAGTGGTTTGAATTAAAAAAACAGCATAAAATTATTGCAAAATAAATAAACTTGCATAATTAGTTTCAGGGTATACAACACCTTTTAGTAACTTATGAAAAATGTTGAAGGTTAGCGTGTACCATGCAAACTGTAAAGTGTTGGTGTTAATTCGAAAAATATGTAAACACAACCTAACCTCTACTTTCAGGGAATGGTCAGTTTGGTGACCGGTGGCGCCTCAGGGTTGGGGAAAGCTACCGTTGAAAGGTTCGTGAAGAATGGTGGGAGGGTTGTAATTCTTGATATACAAGGTACTAGGGCGCAAGAGGTGGCGCAGAGGTTAGGCGACCATGTTGCTGTGACTGTGGGTTGTGTAAGTTGCCTCCTTATTTAGTAACTTGATGTTTTATTAACGTTGTGTAAGTACTATGTATTCTCTACATAGTACATTGGAATACATACATTTGCTGAGTGACTGGTGCATCCAGTCATTCCCATTATCCCTTTAGTAACTCGTGTAGGGTTGCTGGAATGGAAGGACTGTACATTACCATCGCACGATTTGAGGGGTGGGAGGGGGGTGGGGGGAAGGGGGAGGGGAGGGAACCCTTCGTGCAAAGTTTCAAAGTTAGGAATTTAATAGTTTTCGAGATATTAATTTTTGAAAATTCGAAAAAAATAACCTCAAAAAATCATGTTTTCGCACCAAAGAGCGGGGTAAACCCCTCCCCCCGAACCCCTAGCGGGAAAAAACCCACCCCCAAACCACCCCCCCCAACTCCACTATGAAAAACTAAATTTAAACCTAAAACCAGGCAAAAACGCAAAATCCTAATTGATGCATACATCAAACAGTAAACAACAACAAACAACATGGCGTTCTTTACGCATTTCGTTATTTTTTTGCAACAAAAAATAATTGTTCAAAAATAAAAGCTTACATACTAATTATAGTAAATTTCTATGTTA